GGCAAGGTAGGTGCAGAGTCTTTGCTTGGGCCCCCATGGGAGGGGGTCGCCTGGGCCTTCTTTCCACAGTGAGCCAGGGCTGTCCCAAGGAGGACCTTCTGCTGTGGAACACCATCCCCATGCACCCCACAAACGGTACCCGAGCTCCCACACATGCCAGGCGCGGGGACACGGGCAGGACTAAAGGTGCCCACGGCCTGCCTTGGCCGCAGAGGGCACGCAGGGACGTGGAGGAGGAGCCGAGCCAGGCGTGCTGGGAAGAGGGGAGCCCCGGCTCGGGACACACAGGGCCTGGGGCCATGCAGTGAGTCCCCTTGCCTCAGCCAGAGAGGAGGGGTGCGCGAGGCACTGGGTAGACCCCGGCGGTGAAGGCTGTCAGGGCGCTGGGACTTGGGAGCACACGAAAGCCTGATAACTTTTTCAGAAGGTTTTCAGACGGGACCTGGGCAGGTGGGGGTGGACATGGCCCTGAGCCACTGACCCCAAACCCCTGCCCCCTCTCCAGAAAGCGTGGCTTCCGTTTCAGGCACCCTCTCATTGCCTGGCCTGGAACCGGAGCCCCCGCACGCTCTGCCCCCTCTGCCTCCAGCTGTTGGCGCCTGCTCTGCCAGGTCCACATGCCTCCTCCGGGCTCCTGCTCGGATCCGCCTGGGTCACCTTGACCCGTCCATCCGGGATCTCTGCACTGTCTCATCACGGTCCCCTCCACCATACCACCAAGCTTCTCCATTTACGATTCCAGAGCCATCTGCTGTCAGGCTGGCTCTCTGGGGGCCCACAACAGTGCGCACATGGGGGTAGGTCTCGACCAAGGATGGGAGAGGTCTGTGAGGTGCAGCGCCGTTGGATCCCAGTTGGGACCCTCGTGGCCCTCGTCTGAGCCTCCATCCTGGGCATGGGAAGGTTCCACTTAATGAACGGCCTTAGGGGGCCACCAGGTCTGATGTGTGTGTCAGGGGTGCTCTCCCTGGGTGGGGGAGACCAGTGCCCTTGCTGGCATCTCCATGGGGCAAGGACCCACCCAGGGTGAAGGGCCCAGGGACACACGCTTGAGAAGGTGCTGGTCAGTGGGCACCAGTAGGGTGGGGTGAGGATGACGTCAGGTCCCCCTCTACCCCGGTGGCCTGCGGCTCCCTCCAGGGACCCCCACCTTGGCCCAAGCTCTGGCCGCACGTTCCTTCCCAGCCAGGCACGCAGGGCTCAGCTAGAGAGGCCCCTAGGGCCACCCATTGATCAGGCTTAGTGCTTCTGCCCAGCCTGGGCACTGAGCTTGCTTGCTTTTTTTTTTTTTAAAGATTTTATTTATTTATGTGAGATAGGGAGTGTGTAAGAGAAAGTGCGCGCGAGCGCACAAGCAGGGGGGGCAGCAGAGGGAGAGGGAGAAGCAGACTCCCCGCTGAGCAGGGAGCCCGATGTGGGATTCGATCCCAGGACCCCAGGATCACGACCTGAGCCGAAGGCAGATGCTTAACCAACTGAGCCACCCAGGTGCCCCCGAGCTTTCTGATATACATTTGTACACATGGCCTGAATTAGGCCTTGGCCCACCTCCATTTCCTCACTCAGTGTTGGTGAGAGCTGCCTCCGCAGCCCAGTGCCCACAGAGGAGCACCATCAGGTGCAGAGGGTGCCCCTCAGTGCCCCCTGTAGGACCCAAGTGTCCCGCCCCGTGGGATGGTATGCAGGCAGAGCTGAGCCCAGACTGCTGCTCCCGTCCTCCAACCATGCCCTGGCCACTTAGCCTGCCCGAACTCTCCAGTCACGACTCTTCGTGGCTTTACCGCATTTCCCTGATGATGCATGCCTTCAGCCCCTTTTCTTCCTTTTTTTTTTTCTTTTAAAGATTTATATATTTGTTGTTAAGACAGCGGGTGGGGCAAAGGGAGAGGGAGAGAGATTCCCAAGCAGACTCTGCGCTGAGCGTGGAGTCCGATGTGGGGCTTGATCTCTCCACCTGAGAACACGACCTGAGCCGAAACCAAGAGTCGTATGCTTAACTGACTGCACCACTCAGGCACCCCGAGCCCTTTTTCTTTAAGAACACCCCCAAACCCACCCCCCTCACCCCACCACAGCCGCCCCCCTTGGCTGATAACACCCAGTGTCTGGGGATTTTTGCAAGGGGATGCTCAGGAGAGGCCCCATGGAGGAGATGACAATGCAGGAGGAGGAGGGAGAGTTCCAGATAGGGGGAGGAGCCAGGGGAACGTCATCAGGTAGAATGATTCGGCAAGGTTAGGAACCAAGGTGGGGGTGTGTCCCTCCCTTGTGATGGAGTAGAAGGGAGAGTGGAGGATGGTGTGGAGCTCCCGCCCATGAGTCACACCGTTCCTCCATGGAGAAACAAAGTCAGTCCTTGGACCCCGTGCTGGGTTCTGGAGGAGCCTGATCCCCTGTGAGCCTCAGTTTCCTCGAGGTGGCCCAGAGCAATGTGGCCTGAGTCCTGCCCATGGCCTTGTCTCTGGTGGCCCCAGCACCCACCTGTAGGCTTGGCTCCATACCCCAAAGAAAATAAAGAGAACTTCAGAAAGCCATTGTCAGGGGACGGGATTACTTCTGTAAGGAACGAGGCACTGAGGTGGTTACAACATACAAGACGGCAATAAACCGAATCAGATGACCTCCCGGCCACCCCTGCTCGTCCCCCAGAAACTCCTGACTCATGTCTCTTCGGTGCTCCCCACTCTTTCACCTCAAACCCTACTCTGGTCTCCTTCCTGACACCCCCACCCCCAGCTGATGCCCCCAAAGGCAGCCAAACCACAGCCAGCTACCTGGGAGGGCCCCATTCTAGCCCCATTTCAAAGACGGGGAGACTCAGAGGCTTGTCATAAGCCCGAAGATGGCGGGACTGGTGCATAGTGGGTCTTCTGACTCAGGTGCCAGTGGGCACAGGGGAGGTCCCTGCAGTCCAGGGACGGGACAGGCGGCAGATGTCAGAAGGAGGCTTTGGACCCGGGGACAGGGTCTGCTTGGCTCTGGTCTCCCTGCTGCCACGGGGGCCTCTGTGGGCTCTTGTGGGCTCTGGGGTCCCGCTCCCCACCCCGGCTGCCTGTTAAAATGTCACTGAGCTAGGTAGCAGTGGGGCGGGGATCCCCCTGTTAGGACGGTGGTCATGGGATGCTGACTCACTGCCGACCAGACCACCTGACCTCTCCCGGCAGGCAACAGGGCCCTGCCAGGGGGTTCCCCAGCTGCCGCCTTGTTTACTTCTCACTGGCTTTGGGGGAGGAGGGGAGGGCAGGGCCAGGGCCACGCTCAGTGGGAGGGCATCCTGGGAAGGCCAGAGCAGGGACTCTCCTAGCGGTGGGGGCCTCCAGGTTGGCTTCCCAGGCCCCATTTCCTGCCACCCCCATTTCCCCTAAGCTCTCCATCCCTCCTTGCAGACCCACCATGGTCCCCAACGGGGCCAAAGGGCCAGAAAGCAAAGGAGGTTTTGCCTGCAAGCGTCTGTTTCCGCTGCTTGTTTGGACAGGGGCCGCACCTCGAGCCCTTCCTGAGACCCAAGGTCCCCCAGAGCCCCAGGGCTTTCCTTCTGCACACCCCACTCACTCGGATGAGGCCCCTGAAACTTGGGGGGCTGGGAAGCTGGGCTCTTGGTCCAGGCTGCCCAGTGTGGTGAGGCCCCAGGGCTGCTGAGTCACACACCCATGGACACCTGTGGGCCCCGGCAGCCTCTGCCCAGCCTGCCCCTTGTCCATCCTCTGACCCCGTCTGCAGGGCAGTGAGCATCGGGTCTCTTTCCCAGGCTCACAACAGGGATGCGGGGAGGGGCCTGAGAGGGTACATCCTCTTTAAAGGGCTGCTTGAGGCAGGGTGCACCTACTCTGGAGCCCCCTGGGAAGGACCAGCCACACCTGCGGACAGGTCCCTGCTGTGTTCCCATAAGCAGATGGCCTTCACAGCTGACAGCCAAGTCCACCCACCCACCCTTCCCTTCTGGCTCTCCCATCGCACAAACCCCACCACCAGAGGACATGACTCCGACTCAGCAGGTCTGCCTTCTACTCTCAGGACTCCGCCTGGGACACTACATAGGACGACATACCCTTCCCGCCCACCTCCTTTCAAGACCCCACTTCCTCCAGGCCTTGTGAACAGGTGGGTTTTGTCACATAAAGCCGTGTTTCTTGGTTACTAGCCGGAGGGCTGCTGGTCTGACCCCTGGGATGCCCCTGAGGCCAACAGGCCTTACACCACTCAGGCCCTTTGGGCACCACCTGCGGAACGGAACTCTGTGCTCACAGGTGTGGGTCCGGCTGCTCATGCCGAGCACGTGATGACCACTAAGGCTCCCGGAAGCAGCCGTTGGCCCTCTGGCCAGGTGAGGGGGAGGGGACCCCGTGCTCCTCCGGTATCTCTCAGCCTTACCCCCTATCCCACTGGGAGCTCCTCTGGGGCTCAGGCCTGATGGGGAGTATGCCCCTCAACCCAGTAAGGGGCCGTCATGGAGGATGCTGGGGGCGCTGGAGCGGGCTGCCACCTGGGACGGGAGGCTGTGGAGAGTGGCAGGGCCCGGACAGGACCTCGGGAGCCAGTTAGCTCTGGCCTGGGGCTTCGGGCCACAGTGGCCCCCCCCTCCCGCTGCGCTGGGCATCCCCCCATCACCCCACCCCCGCGGCCTCCGTTGTGCTTTGCTGAGTCACCGCCAGGCCCAGGCCTGGGAGGGTTCTGGGCGGGGGGGGCGGGGAACCCCTGTGGGTGCTTTCCCCGCAGGTGAGGGGGCTGGAGCCCAGCCCTAGATGTCGGAGTTCCGGGCCGGCCTCTTGGGGTCCCGGAGGCACTGAGGACAGTGAGGAGAGGGGTCGGCGATAAGGGGGTGCGGGACACCGTGAAGGGATAGCGGGGGTGGGGGGGCGATGCGGGGGGGGCAGCGGGCTCGGGGCCGCGGCAGGGCGGCTCGCGCGGGGCAGCGCGGCGGGGCGGGGCGCGGAGACCCCGCCCCCAGGAGGCCGGAGGGGGCGGGACTTCCCGCGTTCTTTACAAAAGCCGCGCGCCCGCCGCCGCCGCGGCCTGGCTCCGGCTCCTGCTAGCCCACCGGTAGAGATGGCGTCGCTCACCGTGAAGGCCTATCTTCTGGGCAAGGAGGACGCGGCCCGCGAGATCCGCCGCTTCAGCTTCTGCTTCAGCCCCGAGGCGGAGGCGGAGGCCGAGGCGGAGGCCGCGGCTGGGCCCGGGCCGTGCGAGCGGCTGCTGAGCCGGGTGGCCGCCCTATTCCCGGTGCTGCGGCCTGGCGGCTTCCAGACGTACTACCGCGGTGAGCGGGCCCGGCGCCCTTGGGGGGCTGCGCGGGGCCGTGACGCAGGCTTGCCCGGCGGGGCGGCTGCTCGTCCGGCCTGGGAGCGCCCGCGGGGGCCGGCTCCGGCCGCTCTCGGGGGAAGCGGGGCGGCGTCGGCTCGGGCGCTGCCGGCGGGTGTCGGGCCCGGGGACCCGGGGGTGTGCAGGGCGCCGGCCCTTCCCCCGCGCCGTGACGTCGCAGGTCTTGGCCCGGGGCGCGCTGGGGCGTCCTCGCTGGCAGGCGGCGGGCGCTCGAGTTACGCCGACAGCTCGCTGCTGCCGAGTCGGGGCTGGCTAGGGCCCCGGAAGCGCCGGCCGGACGCGGAGGAAGGGCTGGCGGGGGAGAGCGGGGAGGCGGGCCAAACGGCGCGGCGCGGCCTGGCGGGGAGGAGCGGTCGCGAGCGGCCCCGGGGCGCCCGAGGCCGGCCTCTGAGTGCGCACGTTCCGCCGCCGGCAGTGGACAGAGGGACCCAGTCGGGACGTTCTGCAGCAGCGTCGGCGGAGGGACGGGAGCCCAGGATCGCGCTCCGTTTCTTGCTGCGCTGGTGTGGCGGGTGGGGTGGGGGGAGCCGGTCGGGGCACGGAAGCGGGGCGCGGGGGGTGGGGGGAAGCCAAGGCCGGCCCCTGGGAGGGGCAGTGCTGGGCCCACCCTTAGGAGCACTGCCAACTGGCCAGACCCGTTCCTGGGTGGTTTGTTTTTGTGACAAGTTTATGGAGCTATCCTCCACTTCCCGTACAGTTCACTCATTTCACGTGAACAGTTTTGAGCGACTTGTGCAACCATCCTCCTCACAGTTTTAGAACCTTTGCATCACCTGCGAAAGGAACTGTATGGTTGAGCTCTCTCCTCATCCCCTTCAGCTCTAAGCAACCGCTAATCTCTTTCTCAATGGATTTCCTTATTCTGGACATTTTCTATAAACATAGACACGGAACACTACACTTTCCTATTCTTTTGTAACCGGCTTCTTGTACTCGGCATAACATTTTCAAGGTTTAGCTGTGTTGTAGCTTGTGTCCGGACTTCCTGCCTTTTTGTGGCTGAATAACATTCCATCTTGGGACATACCCCGTTTTGCTTTTCCACTCCTTAGTGGATGGGTGGGTTATCACCTTTTGACGCTGCCCCTGTTCTTATGGTGGATGTTGCCTCCAGTGCCCCACAGAGGTGGCCCAGCCTGCAGGTGTAAGGGGTGGTTTGGCCTGCACGGTGGGACTTTAACACCATTTGCTAAATCTAAAAATCAGAGAGTACATACAAATACCGTAGCTTCATTGGGGGCGGAAGCAGGCAGATGTACTCATCTCCTTGACTCTCCTAAACCACAGGAGGCCCACGGCCTTTGGAGGGGCTGGACCCCCAGGAGCCGGTCACAGGTGGGGATCTCCTACTGTTGAAGTTGGGTCTCGGCCTGGTCAGACGTGGACCGAGGCAGCACCTTCTTAAGGGGCAGCGGGCTCAGCTACAGCAGCCGCGCCTGCGCATGCGCACGCTGTCTCCAGTGGGTGCCCGGGCCCCAGGTCGGAGTGCTTACCTTCCAGGCAGTGTTACAGTGAGTGGGCAGTCTGGCCTCAGCCCCGCTGCCCCCTGGCTCACACAGGCGTGCGTCAGTTCCTAGGCGAGCAGACGCCCCTCTAGCTCGGCCTCCGCCCTTCTCGGCAGCTTGTATCCGACTGAGAAGCCTCGGGTACTCACGTGCGGTCTTGTAAACAACCTAGATGAGGACGGAGACTTAGTGGCCTTTTCCAGTGACGAGGAACTGACCATGGCAATGTCCTACGTGAAGGATGACCTCTTCCGTATTTACATTAAAGGTAAAGGTCTGTTCTGGGCGCTGTCCGAAGCCGGGTGCTTCTTGCTGGGTAAAACCTGCTTGAGGTTATTGAGCAGTCCCCTCCGAGGAGCGGGCAAGAGCCTGTGGGTTGTTTAAGACCGAGACTTCATCATCTCTGTGCTGGGCCTGAGAGAGGAGTCCCGAAGGGGTGGGGCCTGGGGACCTCTGGGTTCACTCTGCCGAGGGCCGGGGGCTGGGGGCGGCTTTGGCGATGCAGTGGGGTTTATTTTAATGGGGGGGGGCAGGGCCCCAGCTATGCAGACACAGCTCCCTGCCGCTTCTCACTTGCCTGGGCCCCATGTACTGTACCAGGCACAGGGACTGGGACCCTCCTGGCAGCTTCTCGGGTCCCCTTGTTGCTGTCACTTGAACAGCTGGGTTGTGTATGGACTCCAGGTCTGGAGGGCAGGGCCAGGGGTCTGCTGAAAAAGGCCCCCAGTCGTGACGAGCGGTTTGTGTGGGGTCGCACCTCACGGCTGTCTGTGCTTCCTGCAGAGAAGAAGGAGTGTCGGCGGGACCACCGCCCCCCGTGTGCTCAGGAGGTGCCCCGCGGCCTGGTGTACCCCAGCGTGATCTGTGACGGGTGCAATGGGCCCGTGGTGGGGACCCGCTACAAGTGCAGTGTCTGCCCGGACTACGACCTGTGCTCCGCCTGTGAGGGGAAGGGCCTGCACCGTGAGCACAGCAAGCTCGTCTTCCCCGGCCCCTTCGGGCCCCTTGCTGAGGTCAGGCTGGGGGGGCGGGGCACGGTGTGGGCAGGGGTCGGGGAGGAAGGAGCCCCCTGCTCTGGTGTCACCCGGCCCCTCTGCTCGCTCCTCCCCACAGGGCGTCGCTCACAGCCGCTGGCTCCGGAAGCTGAAACACGGGCACTTCATGTGGCCCGGCTGGGAGATGGGCCCCCCGGGGAACTGGAGCCCTCGTCCTCCCCGCGCAGGGGACGCCCGCCCCAGCTCTGCGGCCGAAGCAGGTGAGGGTGCTTCACAGCCAGTAGGAGTGCGTAGTCCTCAAAAAACCCTGCAAAGTGGGGAGCATCGTCTTCATGCCACATACAGCAAAACGGAGGCACCTGTGCACAGGGCCGCTCACTTGCCCGCACGAAACTGAGGCTTGGCCCGGATGTGGCTCAGCCTGAAACCTCCCTCCCCTGTTGAGGCTTTTTTTTTTTTTTTTTTAAAGGTTTTATTTATTCATTTGTCAGAAACAGGGATAGCGAGAGCAGGAACACAAGAAGGAGTGGGAGAGGGAGAAGCAGGCTTCCCCCCGAGGAGGGAGCCCGATGTGGGACTCGATCCCAGGACCCTGGGATCATGACCTGAGCTGAAGGCAGACGCTTAACGACTGAGCCACCCAGGCGCCCCTCTTTCTTTTTTAAAAATGTGCTCTATACCCGATGTGGGGCTTGAACTCACGACCCTGAGCTCAAGAGGTGCATGCTGTACTGACAGAGCCAGCCGGCTTGCTCAGATATTTTGAAACACAGGCACAAAGTTGAAAACAGACGGCTTGTGTTCCAGAATTTAGGATTCTGGTTGTAGTGTGATTTTATTAACTTACTGTCCTCCGATTTACCTCCTCCTTTGGAATGAAGGTGGGGATGTTGGTTTGATTCTGATGTGGTTTAAGTTAGAACGTGGTCAGCATTATACACTGCACGTAGCGAATCCCCCACGGGCTTCTGAGCACCAGGGGCACATGGGCCCGCAGTGGGAGAGAGTTCGGGAAGGCTGCTGGGACAGGACCCCCGGGGGTGGACGGCACCTGAGGAGAAGGTGATAGGATCGTAACAGGTGTCGAAGTCATTGAGAAACCTGCTTTGAATCGAACATTTTTTTTTTTTGTTTTTTGGAAAACCAAAGCTGCTGGTCCATCGGAGGATCCCAGTGTGAATTTCCTCAAGAATGTAGGGGAGAGTGTGGCGGCCGCCCTGAGCCCTCTGGGTAAGTGGCAGCCTCTGTCCTTCGAGAGCAGGAGCGTGTCGATCACTCGGTGAGGGGGTGGCTGGTGGGCGGCTTGCCCCCCCCCGGGGTCACCGTGGAGGAACGGTGACTGCCGTGCCCTCGGGGCCGGCCTTTGCCATGCGCTACACCGCAGGCCACTCAAAGTTAAGTTCCTTGACACGTTCTGGAGCTTTCCCCGTGGAGTGAAGTGGAATCAGCGAGTGTTTGGTTGGGACAAGCCCAGTAGCCTCTGCTGCAGGGCTGGCCTGTCGGCTTCTGACTCTTTCCACCAAGAACAGTCTGCTTCCCCCCCGAATGTGAGCCCTGGGGTTTACTCCAGGACTCGGGGGAGTAAGCTGAGAGACCATTTCTCTTTTCTTCCCTTCTGTTTTTTTGCAACCCCAACCTTTCTGGGGGCTTCCTGAGTGCCCGGCTTGTGCCCGCGCTGGGGAGCCGGGTGTGATGGAGTGTTTCCAGTAGCCTCGGGTCAGATGTGAGGTCACTGGATGGGTGGGTGAACCGCAGCGGGTAACCCCCTGGTGGTGGGACTGGCCCAAGGCTTTAGAAGGCGTCTGCTGTATCCGCTGGCCCTGACGCGGACTGTGGGAGTCTTCTACAACTGTGACTTCTGGTCCAAGGGTACAGTGGATCCGTCATCTCTGACTGGAAGCGTGTTCCGCTTTGTGACTTCAGTGGCAGCAAGGGTCCACTGTCTGAACGGATGCAGATGGGACGGGAGGGCAGGCCCGCCCTCGCCCCTAGCTTGAGACCATTTCGGCTCCTCCATCAGGCCAGGACGCAGCTCAGCAGGACCCGTGAAACCCCTCAGACTGCGTACCGTGGAGTTTTGTGCTGGAGTTAAAGGCCTTTGAGAGAAAGAGAAAAGAACGGGTGTTCTTAATGCCTTCTAGGAGGATAAAAGTGGAGCGGCGATCAGGTTATAAGCAGGAGATAAGCTAGTGCTAAACCCTAGCTGGCGCACAAGACACGGTGATGAGAGTTGTGATTTGGGGGCAACGGGAAGCTGCTCTTTGGAAGCTAGTAGTGGATCGTGGTTCTCAAGGCTGGCTGAGTCTCAGAATCACCAACACAGGTTGTTTTTGGTATAAATTTTGGCGTATGGAGATTTCACTAAAACTGTTCTGAAGAACAAAGTCCTTCGCTAAAAGAACGACCCAGACAAGCTGGGAAGTCCCGAACCCCGGTCTGGGCTCAGGTAGGGAACCTTGGAACCATGCAGAGTCCCAGGTCCACCTCCTGGATTCTGGTAAATTCGTCATGGGTCGGGCCTGGGATCCGTGTGTTTTGAAGGCTTGCCAGGGACTCTGGGTCCCACTTGCTGTCCATCCCGAGGCCCCTCTGAGCCCGGTGGCCTGTTTCAGAACTTGACCCGGATTCCCCACTCAGGGCAGAGGGGGGTAATTTTGGCAGCACTCAGAGGAGTTGTAGGCTAAGGGTAAAGGCCTTTTCAGGTTTTTCAAAGTGGAGGGAGTTGCTGTGTACCAACTAGGGAGGAGCCTAGAACTCTCCAAAACAACAAGGAAAGTTTCAGTAAGTATGCCTCTGAAGTAGTTTCAGTTGAGAGCCCCTTGAGGAATTGATTAAACTCTAGACTTACGGGTGTTTTCCTTTCTTATGAGGAACTGACAGCTAGGATGACTCACGCTAACGGCCTAGAAGGGACTGTTCCCAGAGCAGGGGCCCCAAGGGACAGCCAGTAATGCCTCCCAGAGGGTGGACCATGTGCAATGACTCAGCGATTCTAAAGCAAAGACCTTGTTTGGTAGGTGCCATGAGGACCAGCTGAGCGGGTCTGCCGCCGGTCTGAGTTTGCAGTCACTGACGTCTAGGACCCCAAACCGCAGGGCCTTTCCTTGTCCCAGGATTTTCAGAAGACACTCCCCCTCACAGGCTCTGGGGGAAGCAGGGCACGGCCAGTGGTACAGTCTGTAAGCCCCTAGGTGTCTCAGGTTATCATCCGTTGGAGAAACTTGGGATTCTAGAATCTCTCTGGTTCACTTATGGAAGTCCTGTCACTTGCCCACATAGCAAAGTGAGACAGTGTATGGGTGTTCATTGGATGGTCTTCCACCTTTTCTGTGTGCTCAAACCTTTTTTTTATTTTTTATTTTATTTATTTATTTATTTCTTTTAAAGGTTTTATTTATTCATTTGACAGAAACAGAGATAGCGAGAGCAGGAACACAAGCAGGGGGAGTGGGAGAGGGAGAAGCAGGCTTCCCGCTGAGCAGGGAGCCCGATGTGGGACTCGATCCCCAGGATCCTGGAATCATGACCTGAGCTGAAGGCAGACGCCTAACGACTGAGCCACCCAGGCGCCCTCAAACCTTTTTTTTAAAGATTTATTTATTTAGAGAGAACACGGAGGGGCAGAGGGAGGGAGAGCATCTCAAGCAGACTCCCCACTGAGCACAGAGCCTGATATGGGGCTTGATCTCACAACCCTGACATCATGACCTGAGTTGAAACCAAGAGTCTGAAGCTCAACTCACTGAGCCCCCTAGGTGCCCTGCTTGAACCTTTCAGGATGAAAAGTTGGAGAGAGGATAGGAGAAGGACGACTTAAATGTTGCAGATGGGCGTACTGGTAGCTAAGCCCGCTTTTATCTGTTTGCTCCTCACGCTCTACCAAAGTGACAGTAAAGGGATTAAACACAACAGTATAAAGCAACGTGGACAAAGAAAAGGGAAAAAAGAGAGGACAAGGTAAGAAAACCTCCCACTTTGAACGGTGGGAAATGGAGTTGAGGGTGGTGACCAGCAGCATGGAGGCATCAGAAGCCACATGCCTGCCTGCACAGGGGCCCTGGTGGAGGCAAGAGGGCAGGTCAGGAAAGGCCAAGGAACGGGGGATGGTCAAAGACCACTCTTGGGGATCGCGTAGAGATCACTGGCTGCTCAGCCAGATGCTTGTCCTTGCCCACGCACGCCCGAGACCTGATGGTTAGTTGCTGGAGCATTTGACCCAGGGAAGCTTCAGCCCTAGGGACCCGGGGCAGGGTGAGGCCCCAGCCTGAAATGGGGCACCATGAGTGGGCAGTGGGTCTAGCAGGGGCTGGGGCGTCCCTGCTCAGGAGAGGCTGGACGTGCCAGAGCCAGGTCCCACGGCTTTGCCACCTGGGATCCCGCTGCCTGGCCAGACACCCACTGGGTCCCCCTGCAGAGGGAGACGGATGAGGGCCCTGGCCCCTCAGAGTGCTTCCTGGCAGCCTCTTAGTGCCTCGCTAGGATCAGAAGGTCACGATCACCAGCCATTTGGGAACATCTCTCCGTGGGGACAAGAAGGAACTTGGGGAAGGACTTTATGGGAAAGAGGATGTCAGCGTCCTCTGTGAGATACAAAAAAAAAGGTTTTCCATCCTTGAAAAAAACAGGATACCCTAAAAATGATAACACAGATTAAGATCAGAACAGACTGTTTTTTTTAGAAATTAAGAAAACTAGCCAGGATGAAGAAAACTTCAAAAGAAGGCATAGATTTTAAGGTCATTTCAAGGAAATATTCCAAAAACAAAAGAGAGGCAAGACGAGAGAAAAGGTAAGGAGATTTGAGGATTAATCCTGGAGGCCCAGGGTAGGACAGATATTAGGGATTCTAGGAAAAGAACAGACAAAACTGAAGGAAGGAAATGAACAGAGCATAAATATAAGACCATCTTGGCACAGAGGACATTAACCTCTCGATTGAAAGGGACTCCACGTGCCTTGGACAGTGACCAAAAAAGATCCCGCCCCGGAGCTCGTCCTGTCCCGGAACCCTTTGGAGAAGGGGAGGCTCTGGAAATGCTCCAGGTTGTTTTTGGTTTTGTTTTTGTTTTTTTAAAAGATTTTATTTATTTATTTGTGAGACTCAGGCGGGGGGGGGAGAGAGAGAGAGAGAGAAGCAGGCTCCCAAGGAGCAGGGAGCCCGATGCAGGACTCGATCCCAGGACCCTGGAATCATGACCTGAGCCGAGGGCAGACGCTTAACCATCTGAGCCACCCAGGCGCCCTGGAAATGCTCCAGGTTACCGTAAGAGCTCGAGAGTTCTAAGGGCCAACACTGGAAGACTGTGGATCAACCAGTGACTTCCAAAGTCTGAGCCGAACTGGTTTCTCAACCTAGAGCGCTATTCCCAGGTGAAATGGTCATGTCTGAGGGCAGAACAAAGCTATATATAGTGGCGTTCACCTAAGTAGTGCACGTTTTCACTGAAAAGGTTTTGAAAGGACAGGGGAAGGGGAGGTAAGTGTTGATCTAGAAGAAGCAGCAGTGCACTTGAGCCGTGGAGAAAAGGCAGCGTGGGTTGAAAGCCGTCTGTGGGGAGTGGGCGGGCTGTGTGGTGGGGGCCAGGAATCTGAGCCTTCTGGAACGGTTGGACTCTAAGCTGTGGGCATGTTGTCCTCTGATAAATTAATTAGAAACAGCACCAGGGACTCTGCTCTCCGTCCTCTCAGTGGGCACGTGCGCCCGTGTGAGGGACCACGGGCGACACGCTGGCCAGGGCTTCGAGCCTCATGGGCCTCCCACAAAGCCGAGCAGGATTCTCGTGTCTCCCATCACTGCCCCCACCCCCCGGCCCCCAACTAGTGTGAGGCTTTGTGCGGTCCTGGGCGCTGTGGCCGGGCTCTGTGGCCGCTCTGGTGTGTGGCTCCATGTTCCTACCCTGCTGCCCACATTGGGCAAAACGGGCTCTTGATGGGCTTTCTGGCTCCAGAGCTGACCCGGGATGTTCGCTGAGATTAGGGTTTCGTTAAGTTGGAAGAGGCAGGGCCAGTGAGGTGGACAAGTCAGCAGACATTTTCTAGGAGCCAAAGTTTGGGGCCAGGGTATGGGGAGCAGTGAACCCTTGGGATCCTGAAGGTCAGAGGTGAGTGGCCATCTGCCTTGTGGCTGGTGGGCTGGCCTCATGCCCTGGTCCCGCACTGGCTGTGCGACTCGGGTCCGTCGCGAGCTGCCCATACCTGGCCCCCCCGCCACTATGCTGGGTCCCACCCCCCCAACACCGTGTCCCAGGCCAGGAGGGTCTCCGGAGGGCTCACAGTGTTTGCTTCCTCCTCGGTCGCTGCAGGCATCGAGGTGGATATTGATGTGGAACACGGTGGGAAGAGGAGCCGCCTCGCCCCCGTCTCTCCAGGCAGCTCCAACACCGAGGAGAAGTGCGGCTCCCAGCTGAGCAGCTGCTCTTCGGACCCCAGCAAGCCAGACGCTGACCCAGAAGGCACGGCGCGGTCTCTGGCGGAGCAGATGGACAAGGTGGCCCTGGAGTCGGTGCCGCCCGAGGCAAGTGCCCCGCCCCAGACAGGACACAGCCCAGCAGACCGCCCTCCCGGCTTCAAGGGCTTTGCGAACCGCTGCTAGAACATTCCTCGCTGCTCGCAGGAGTGCCGGCGGGGGCAGCTGGGGGCAGCTGTGCTCACAGGGGCTTCTGTTGCAGGAGCAGATGGAGTCGGATAACTGCTCGGGGGCAGACGAAGACTGGACTCACTTGTCTTCCAAAGAAGTGGACCCGTCTACAGGGGAGCTCCAGTCTCTACAGATGCCCGAATCCGAAGGGCCGGGCTCTCTCGACTCTTCTCAGGAAGGGCCCACAGGACTGAAGGAAGCTGCATTGTACCCCCATCTGCCACCAGGCGAGTGATTCACGCAGTTCTGTGTTTCTGCCTTTTTCTCTCAGAACGTCCCCTCCCCTCCTTTCAGCAGCCAGAACCCTGAATCCCGAGGGCAGTGCGTGCGATTGAGAGGCCACCACCCGAGGAAAACGTCGACCTCTTGAGTGGAGGTCACGGCCAGGGTCCCTGTGGGAGCCAGGCAGGAAGCCACCACGTGGAGCTGTGGCGTGTGCGGGGCAGGAAGGCCAGTGGGGACTGTGGCAGCCCAAGCACAGCTGAGCAGCAGGGGCGGCTGAGGCCTCGCTCTGGCTCGTCACTGTCACAACAGTGTGGAAGCAGCGATACCGGGAAAGCCCCCCGTGGGCCACATTTGGCCCTTTGGGCTACTGGTCTTGAATTCCTCTGCTTCAGAGCAGGGACAGCAAGCTGTCACTTACAGGCCAAGAGTGATTTTTTTTTTTTTAAAGATTTTGTTTGAGAAAGCAAGCGAGCCCAAGCAGGGGGAGCAGGAGAGGGAGAGGCAGGCTCCCCGCCGAGCAGGGGGCCCGAGGCGGGGCTCGATCCCAGGACCCCGGGATCATGACCTGAGCTGAAGGCAGGTGCTTCACCGACTAAGCCACCCAGGCGCCCCTGAGTCTTTCATTTTGATAATGGTTGGGAAAAGGTCAAGATGTGAAAATCGGATGAAGGGCAGATGTTGGTGTCCAGGATAAGACGTTGTAGCGGAGCCCGGCTGCGCCCCGTTGCTTACAGGCTCTCCGCGGCGTTCTGTTTTAACGGCAGAAGCGAGTTAGGAGACCGTACAGCCTTGCAGAGCCGCTCAGAATCCTCACCCTCTGGCCTTTTTGGGGAGAGCCTGTCCCGGCTCTGCCTGGGAGGGTCACTGCGCTGGGCAGAGGGCCCATGGAAGGGCTGCCCCCCCACCCCGCCTCACGACTCTCCTCCTCCCTCCGGCAGAAGCTGACCCCCGGCTCATCGAGTCCCTCTCCCACATGCTGTCCATGGGCTTCTCTGACGAAGGCGGCTGGCTCACCAGGCTCCTGCAGACCAAGAACTATGACATCGGGGCGGCGCTGGACACCATCCAGTATTCGAAGCACCCGTTGTGACGGCTTCTGCCCCCTCGTCCCATCCCCCTTCTTGTCCCCTAGTTGTGTTGAGCTAGTGTAGAACAGCAGGGCCTCTCTAAGGGCCAGTTTCTCTGCATTCTTCTTCCAGAATGGGGGGGGGGCGGGGATGCACCAAGCCATCCTGGGCAGTGGAACAAGTGACAGGAGGGGGGCCCCCCGTGTGTGGCTGCCCCCCGTGTGTGGCTGCCCCCCGTG